CCGAGGCGAAGGTGCGGGGTTGTGAGCGGGCTCGGCCGCCTTCCGAGAGAGCACGGATGACACAGCTGGCCCCCTTTGGACTGGCTCCCTGTTATCGAGGCAGCACCCTGAGATCACTTGCCGAATTAAAACCAGGTTTTCCACGCCAGAACATGCCTAGTGTGAGCATATGATCCAGTAGACGGCTAGGAGGCGCTTGTATTTTTAATGAGGTGGTGGTGTTTAAGACACTTGGTTTGGCTTTAAAAAAAAAAAAACTTCTTAGGAAAATACTTCTTTTGGGGTGGTGGAGGGGAATGCAACAGTCAGTCCTGGGCTGTAAATCAAGCAGGGAAGTCAAAAGCATGTTCTTATTTTTACAGCCAATTCTTTACTCCAGCAGTCAGCTCCGTAATGAAAGGAGGGGATGATTAACGTGTCTCATGCAGAAAACTTGCTTTTCATTGCAGTGGGTTTAACAGAAATGACAGGCAGAGGAGGAAAACCTTTCGGTTTCACTGTAAAAATTCATGCTAGGGCTACACTGTAGAGCGTGTTAGTTTGGTTAGGTACAATTAATTTATCTCAGAGCTGATTTAATGTAAAACAAAAAAAACCCAAACTTATGTTTATTAATTGTGAGAAAGAATACTAGAGTCAACTTGAAAATCCCTTTCTATGACACTTAAATTGTTGGTAGAAAAGTGATTGTCACTTTCATTTGAGTTCTTCATGCCAGTTAGGTTACACTTAGAAATCCATTACACTGATCCTTTGGCCTACAGCTCTCCAGGAGGTGGTGGAACTACAGCAAGTGTAAGGTCCTTCTAATTTGTTTTCTATGAAAAAGTAGGTAACAGCTTACTCAGCGGAGCTGTATACTGAGCTGCTCTGAAATTTGAGTGTTTGAGTATAATTCTCAGTTTTGGAGTGAAATTGGATGACCCTTGCCACCAGAAGGACAGCTGCTTCCTCCTGTGCTAGTGTCCTTTTACAGGAAATAGGCTGACTCCTCAGCAGAGGTGGTGCTGGGGAAGCCTGGAGAGCACCACGTCAAGCGCTGGGCCGCCGAGATGGTGGAAACTGAACCAGAGCTCTGGGCCAGCACGAAGCCCTTTGTAGATGACGTGGAAATAAATTAATAGTGATACTGTTCAGCAGCGTTACTGTACTCCGCGCTGTGACTGGCTTAGTGTAGCTGCTCTGGTGTTTCAGTGCAACAAATGGGAGGGTTGTTGCTTCCCTTCATGTCAAAAAGTGAGTTTGGCTTGTATGAATTAAATCTATAAGCTGACATCACTATTCCTGGTCGGTGGCTAAGTCATGCCTTCATTTACATGACACTGTTGCTGATTTTTGTCAGTGGCTGATTAACCTGTTTACAGGAAGCTGTCATAATTAATATTTCTAAAGTTGAAGTTCTGGAGTTTAGTGCTTTATGGCCAGCTCTTTCTGAACAAAACCAAATGTTTGCATACGTGGATTAACTTTGTGCTGGAGGTTATCAGTCCCATGATTTGCTGGGTCTTGTCCCAGTAAATGTATATTTGACTTACATTTATTATTTGGTAGTTCTTTTCCTTTGTGCTCTGCCATAAGACTGTCCAGCTAGCTGGTTATTAAAGCTTATGCATAGAGGGAATCTTTAAAGTGAAAGGTAGCATTATGAAGTAAAGAGCATTAATCCTGCTTCTGGATGGAAGACTCCCAAGATAAGCACCGTAGCTGTAGATACTATGCTTTACTGCTCGTGCTGAAGTACAGAGCAGCTTATCGTCGCATTGGCATTATGGTCCTGTTCTGCCGACCTGACTCCTCCCTGGAGCCTCTGTTTGAGACTCTGTGTGCAGCTGCATGGCTCCCGTCTCAGCAGATAAGGCAAAGGGCGAGAGGAAGGTTTGTTATCTGTGTTCCAGAGATAGACCTGGAGCATAAGGAAGTGGTGACTTGTCCAGATTATCTGTGACTCCTGAGAGTGCAATTGCTGGGGCTCCCTATTCCTTTGCTAGAAGACACCCATACTCCTGTTAACTCTCTTGTGCTGCACCTGGGTTTCTGGTCTGTATTTTCATTATTTCCTTCACGTACATGATGCCCTTCACTGAAAGGAACAATTACACAAAGTTTTGCTTAACGCAGATTCCAATGCTTGAAGTCAAGTGCCGCTATAAAGACTAGAGTGCACTCATGCTGTCTTGTAAGTGAATGCTTCCGCAATCAAAAAATTATTTAATTGCATTTCTATATGTCACTTGGAACATGATGGTCAAACTATTATATGCATTTAGTAGAAGTATTCTCCAGAGAACAAAGGTAATTCTCCCTGGCTCCTAGAACTGAGTTGTCACTGAACGGTAACACAGATACTGCTTTTGGCAAAATGCCTTTACTCTGCACGACCAGTCATAAGCGTTGCTTCAGCCAAGGAAAGAGCATTTAATCTCAAAATAACGGGCTGCTTACCTGAAATTGCCAAAGGAGTCAGCTGAGCTTCCAGTACCTTTTGCTAGAATTAAAACATGGGGATCTATAAACTCTTAGTGCAATGAAGTTTGGGTCCCTGGAAATTTTTTTAGTCCCTTCATGCTGATATGTAGTACTTACTAACTCTTGGAAGATAGCATGCGTCTGCTTTCTCTTTCAACAGTGGTATTTCTCATTCGCTAAGAGATTGCTTTGCTTCTACTTTCTTTGGCCAGGTACGCATCTCTGTGGAAAGGATGCCTGACACTTTACACAGGACGGGGAGGCGAGCTGCATAAAATTGGGGAGTAAGTATTGCATCTTTATACTTGCGGTGTTATGTCCTATTCTCAGCAGAGCATCAGGGTAAGTATGAGACATGGTGACTCTTAGCAAATGGAAGCTCAGGCAGCAAAAGTGTGTTGATTGGTCATGGATAGGTACAGTACAGGCAACTGTGATGTGAGTTTCCGCATGCTGTTGTGGTAGTGAGCTCTGACTGTCTCTGGATTTCAGGAACGTTGAGGAAAATCAGTCTCCATCATTGGCACAGGTCTAGGTTTTATATAGAGGGAGGAAGTGTATAAATGACAAGGGACTTAATCTGCACTGCTTACCTAGGCTTCAGCTTGATTAACCACTTTATTTTGGTGGAAGCTTTGTGCGTGTATCATGTCTGAGAGACAGGTGGTGCAAAGAAGGAAGACAGAGGTAACTCCAGTGAATCATGTCTAAACAATAGCAAGCCTCATTAAACCTTTAAACTGCCCGCAAACTGAGGTGGCAACTCCTCCTGACTAAGAACAAACATGAGTAACATACTTGACAAGCAACAGGAAAAATAGCAACGTTTTCTAACCGTAAGAGTACTTCCGCTGTTGCACAAAGTGCTGTGGGAAGCCTTGTAGTCACCAGGGAAGTGGGGCTCTGGGGTGGCCACCTCTCTTCTTGGATGGTTCAGAAATGCGCAGTGTTCAGCTGGATTTTGTGAGGGATGACCTGTAAGTTTTTCTTCACTGTAAACCTGTCGCCTCAGAAGTGTCATCCAGTTGGCTTACTCTCCAGCAGGCTGGAGTGCGGCGAGTGTGCATCTGGGTTGTCCCTCCCAGAAGGAGGTGGGAGCTTCACTTCTGCCTAACTGCTCCAAGCTGCGTAATGATCCAAATCTTTCTTCCCTTCTGCCATAATTTCCACGTGGTGAGTTGGTGGGCCTCTTCCTCCATAGTCCCCATGAGTGGAAAAGGATGCTTTGGATTTCGTTCCCTATTTTGGACTCCTCTGTGCTATTATGTTAACGGGGTGCTCCATAGCATGGGAGTGTGTGGGAGTGTTTAAGTTTTCCCTAAAGATCTAATAGAATGCCAGTCTGGGAGCAGGCTGTGTGACTGTGCCTCAGGTGACCTTGTGAGTGGGGCTGGATGAGACTGTGCTGCTGGAAGAGAGGCGAAGGGAGCCCTTTCATCACCTTTTGTTTTCTTTAGGCCATTTTAGCTCCTAGAGTAAATGTGTACTTGCCTCTGCTTGACTGAAACACTCACTGGGAAGATGTGCGAGCTTCACCACAAGCCTGTAAAGGGATCAAAGAGCCTTTTTGATACCTATGGATACTGTGAACAGCGGGGTCTCAATTACTTCTAGGTGATGGGATATGTCAAGAACATACATTCTTTGAGTTGTGGAGTTCAGAACTCTGTTAAAAAAAGGCTTTAGAACTTCCTCGTAATCCTAATTTCTCCCCAGGTTCTGCATGGTATACTCAGAAGTGCCAAACTTCAGTGAGCCCAATTCAGAACACGTCGGGCAGAACAAACTGGTATGTTAAACTTGTCTGAGGCTTCTGGCATGAAGTGCTCTTTGTTCTGAATATTTCACACTCAGCTGTGATCAGATGTGACTCTTCTGGAAAAATGGACTTGAAGTGATATAGAGATAAAAATGAGCCAATAATTAAGAGTAGCAGATAAATTCCATATGGAGCCACTATAAGAACACAGGAGAAAAACCCAACCCCTTTCTGTAAAAATGTGACATTTCTCTCTGATCCATGTCCTTTTTTTTTCTCCCCCCAACATTTCTCTGAAGGCACAGGGTGAACAGAATAATAGTTCTGCATCAAGTACTATGGGTTCTTGTACTTTCGGGCCACTGGGTAAGTTTTTTCACTTTGTGCAAGTGAAAGAATGAGAAACACTTAATGGGAATAAAAAGAAATTTGTCTTGCTAAGGGTTCTCTGATCTGGGGCAAAAGCATACTATGCTCTAAAAAGTATTTTAGACTGGGGCCTGAACCTGCAAGCACATAAGCATGAGCATTTCCTGAATAATGGTTTCAGGATTTCTCCCCTAAAAGAGGAAGTGATCAGAATATTCAAGGTGCCTGTATCATGTGAAGGGATTTGAGTAATCCTAAATTGTTTTGATGCTTTCAAAAAGTTTTTTGCAGCACTTGAAATTCTGTTCTTTAAATTGCCTGAGACCTTGGCTTTAAAAATTACTTACTTTAATCTTGACAGTCACTATGGCTTTTCTGCCAGGTTAGCTCCCCAAAACAAGTGGTGGCAATCCGAATTCCAATAATTGACCTGGCTGGATCATTTTGTGCTGTATCTAAACACTGAAGCTTAAATAAGAAAATGCTTCAAGGACTTGAGTGGGTGTAAACTGAAAGGGAACCTTAGTTATGGCCTGCCTACATGATGCCCAGACTCAGTACTTAGTGTATAGCTAAGCCCTGCTGGTGGATGACAGCAAACTGATTCTATAACTTGCTGTTAAAAAGCTCTGTGTCACTTCAATTCAGTGACTGTCTGCTTCCTCTTTAGCAACATAATTTTCATTTCTCTTATTTTACTTCTCTTATGAGCCTTTTCTGTTCCCTTGAAAATAAATTATTCTGAGCAAAGAAGGGCCGTGCTTTCAGGCCAGTCTTTCCCCAGTGCCAGGGTAAGGCGAGTAGGCTTTCAGTCCAGTTAGTGTGTAGGTACTTCCTTGGTGTCTCTGCTTTGGGTGGTGAACAGCTGTTTTCACTGAGCTTGTGTGCATCTTCTGAAACTTCTTTTTTCTCTTCCTGTTGCTTATGTGGGCTTTAAATGGCATGATTTCCTTTTGTCTCTTCTTTCTCTCCCCATGCTTCCTGTCATTCTGCCTCTTCAGCTCTGTCCTTCTTCCTACCAGCAAAACATGAGCAGTGATGCTTATGAGGCTCAAGTTCATGAGAATGTGGTGCTAGCTGAGTTGCTTCTGTGGCTGAACTTCACAAGGCAGCTTTTTATTTCTGTGTGCTTGCTAGTGGGGAATGACACAAGGAGCTTGTGTAGCCTGCTTCTCTTTTGCTGGTTTCTCCTTGACCTCTGCTGCACTGCTGTCTCTCTGGAGACAGCACCAGTCTAGTTTCATGAGACTCCAGTCTCTTTCTGAGCAAAGAATCAGCATGCAGCTCTGTGACCCTTCTTGCTTTAGCTGAGAGTGGGGAGTAGGGATGGAAGGGGAAAAAGGTAAGCTGTGGTTTGGGGTCTGGCAGTGCCAGAGGGGCTTTTCCTGCTGGTGCTTGGGGTTTGCTGGTTGCCGCAAACTCAATGCATTCCCTATTGCTAAACTTATGTAAGGGAGCAGTGATTTCAGTCCATGGAGCTTGTGATAACCTTTTTTCTGTCTTTTTAGGAAATGGTTTACAAACTGGACCTGAATCAAGTGGATTTCCGTTTACGTATAATCACGGCCACACTTACGCAGGTAGTGGGAGAGGCAATGGACGAGGACCTGTAAATCCAGCACCAGCTAATAGTGTTCAGTCTCTTCCCCCTGCTGTCAGTAATGGGAGGGACCCACGCAGAGCCTTTAAAAGATGACTATGCCAAATGTGGTTGTACAGCTTGCTTAAACTCTACACTCTACTTGAACACTTATTGCACTTTTATTTATAGTTAACTGTGAACCAGTTTGTCCTTTGTTTTTTTTACCTTTTGGTCTATGGAGCAAACTTGATGTGATCTATTTCTTATTTTGCTTAGGGAAGCACAGTCTTCCCCATACATTAAGGGGGTAGGGGGAGAAGGTGGATATAAGAAAGTAAGGGTAACAGGTTGAAGAGTCAATTAAAACTTGGTACCCTTTGCTAAATGGAAGAAAATTTCAGTTACATGTATGTATTTTTCTGTTTCTGTTGGTCAGCCATATAGCCTTAAAAGGTCTATTATGTCCTGTACATAGGTATGTGGACTCCTATTAGGGTTAATGGGAGTTCTTCGTATTGGAAGAGAAATGAAGGGGAAGAGCAAAGATGCTCTAGTGAACTAGCTCTCCTTGGAATGAATATAGCTTGTAAAAGCAATAAGTATAAGGAAAGTGTGGTGTCTCCTGAATCAGAGAATGGATAACTCAGATGAAAGCTGAAGACATGGTGAGTGTCTTGGAGCTTGACTTCTGATTCTAGGAAGGTGTACACTACTTAAAAATTCTCCATGAACACCGTTATCACGGTTAAGGAAAGTGACATGGATTTTTGCTTTGGATGGAAGCTTGGATATTCATTCTTGCTTTGCATGAAATAGCAGGAGAGGAGGATCTGAATTCAGACAGTATTGGGGAATACACTGTTTGTAGCCACTCCTTGTGTAAAAGCCCAGGGTTACTTTGCAGGAGTCTGAATTTCCAGGAAAGAACTGTTTTCAAATGCTGCATTACCCATCTCCTCAATGAGGCTCCCTACTTCTCCTTCTTTCATTCACTTTTCCAAATGAATTTTGTATTAGACAAAGCTGTATGTGTGGATCGCAGAGGTAGTGGCCAAGCACACAGCTGCACTTCTGATGCTGTTAAGTTGCTAAGCTTTCCTTCCTCTGTTTTATATGAAATACAAATTATACCTTAAAGAACACCACCACCACCACTATCTCCTGGGGGAAAATGGCTGTGGCTTTATTTCTGAGATCACAAATGCCTTGACTCTAGATAAGAGTCCAGTGCCATATTTCAGATTAGGTTCAAAACCAACTTGGAAGCTGAGGTATCATACTGGATTCATCTGTTTAACTCTTCTTATAGCGACCTCTCAAATAAAAAATTGCACTAACCATTTCAAAAACAAATCTTAACTTTCTTTCTGTCAAGCCATAAAGACTTCATGACAAAAGGCTCTTTCTGAATTGTGAGTTGTCTCTGTGGTCCTTCCTGTTAAATTGAATCTGCTACTATGTCACTGATGTTTACAAGTTATTTACATTTGATACTTCTGCTTTTGGTACTCTTATCATGACGATTTGTTGAAAATTGCTTCTAATTGGCAAAAGTTCCTTGCTTAGTCTGAAATACTGAATGTTCTTTTAAGTGCAAGCAGCTGCAACAACGAACTTCTGAAGGGAGGTTTAGAGAAACCTGTATGCCCAGACACCTGAGAGCTGTTTACCTCTGGTCTGATAAAGTGCTATCCTGATACCTACTTCCAGGTGGAACTAGCAAAACTTGTCTTGGACACAAGAGGCTGGCATGCCTCATGATCACCCACGGGTGCTGTTACGGAAGAACAGCGCTAATTGTTGAACCAGAAAGCATGCAGTGATTTCTGGGGAAATGATGTAAGGACGTGATGTGTAACTCAGGGACTTTAAATTGCTTGCTTATTTAAATAAGTCATGTATAGTCTAGATATGTGGACAACCTCTTATGCAGTGTTGCATTAGGACATTTGATATGCTTGTGAGAAGGAAGCCAAGAGGACTTCTAAACCTGTGAAGTATGCGCGGCATGGTCCCAAGGTAATTGAGATGTAAGTATGATGTAAGCGCCGTGCTTTCCAGTAGTAGCTGTAAAGGTAGCAAGTGAACAGTGCAAGTGAAGGCATGGTAGGGAGTTCATCCTCATTCGGGTATCTCCACCATGGATCTCAAATCCTGGTGGTCTTGACTTCTCTACAGCATAAAGAAGGCTGAAATAGGGGGGAATCCTATGTTAGTGTGCGCTGAGGTGCCTGATGTTTGTAGCTCTGTGCATTTGAGCTTTTATTAAGTTAATAAACAGAATACTTGTTCACAAATACCAAATAAAAAGTGAGATGATTACTGCTGATAAGTGACATAAGATTGAAAGCTTGCTGTCAAGTTGGATGATGGATTTGCAGTTGTGTCCTGGTTTGGGAGGAAAAAGCAAGAGGCTGGTCTTCA